TGAAGCTTATTGGTCTAGCTCATTGTTGAAGCTTTCTGCTGTATATAGAAATTCCCTAAATGACTCTTTCATTTCTTTAAGTTCTCTTATATGTTTTCTTATGTTATCTATCTTTTTAGTGGCTTTTTAGTTTTATTCATTCATATCCTGAAGATTTTTTCTTTCTTTTTTCTTTTTCTTTTTCTTTTTTTTTTTCTTTTTTTTTTTTTTATTTTTTGGCTTCTTTGTGTTCATTTTAAAACAGAGTCTCACTTTGTAGAGTGAGCGCCGTGGCGTCAGCCTGGCTCACAGCAACCTCAATCTCCAGGGCTCAGCGATCCTACTGCCTCAGCCTCCCGGGTAGCTGGGACTACAGGCATGTGCCACCATGCCCGGCTAATTTTTTGTATATATATTTTTAGTTGATCAATTAATTTATTTCTATTTTTGGTAGAGACAGGGTCTCGCTCAGGCTCGTTTGGAACTCCTGACCTTGAGCAATCCGCCCGCCTAGGCCTCCCAAAGTGCTAGGATTACAGGCGTGAGCCACCGCGCCCAGCCAAGACATTTTTTTCTTAACACAATGGAAGAGTTAAGGACAATTCCGTTTAGAAATAACATCATAGAAACAGCTATCATCTAATACCTTAACAGTCAACTTTTTAAAGAGGGATTACACTTTTTTTTCTGTTTGATTCTAAGAGATAACCTAGGACCCACAGAATGGAAGCTGCAGAGATGTATTTCAGCAACATGAAGAACTTCCTTATTGAGCTATTCCAAGAATAAAATGGAATGCCTTATAGGTAGATAATTCCCTATTATTACAAATCACAAGCCAAAATCACAAAATTTGCTAAATCAGCAAGAATATTTAATGGAAGCCAACCATCACAAGGGTAACTGAACTAGAATCACAGTATTTTAGATCTGAAAGAAACCTCAGAGATCTTTTAGTCCATACTTCTATTTTATAGATGAAGTGACTCTCCCAAGGCAGCACGGTTTGTTCTGGAAAGCAGAGAACAGAACATGGTCTCTAACTTTCAATCCATTAATTGACACCTTTGCTACTCAAGAGTATGATAGACCAGGAGTGGTGGTTCACACTTGTAATCCTAGCATTCTGGGAGGCTGAGGCAGGAGGATCACTCAAGGTCAGGAGTTCGAAACCAGCCTGAGCAAGAGTGAGACCCCGTCTCTACTAAAAAAATAGAAATAAATTAATTGGCCAACTAAAAATATATAGAAAAAATTAGCCTGGCATGGTGGCGCATGCCTGTAGTCCCAGCTACTCAGGAGGCTGAGGCAGAAGGATTGCTTGAGCCCAGGAGTTTGACGTTGCTGTGAGCTAGGCTGACACCATGACACTCTAGCCCAGGCAACAAAGAGAGACTCTGTCTCCAAAGGAAAAAAAAAAGTATGATAAATGGACCAGTGGCATTAGCATTACCTGGGAACTTGTTAGAAATGCAGAACTGGGTACAATGACCACTATTTGGCTGATAGGCACACTTATAGCCATGACTCAAGCATTACAAAAGTGATCCATGTAACAAAAATATTTGTACCCCCTTAATATTTTGAAATAAAAAAAGAAATGCAGAATCTGTATTTTAACAAGATTCTGTTAAATGTTATGCACCATTGAAGTTCAAAAAGCACTGACCTACAATGCCTTTTCTAAACCTTGAGTTTCTAATTCTGGAACTGCATTTCCCAAACTGTTCCAGATTCTAAACATAGGCACCACCCAAGAAAAACTTCATAGCCCAGTAAAATTTGGGAAACCCTCCACAGCCCCAGTTGGAGATTCATGGTAAATATCATTAGCATATTGAAGGCTCTCAAACACTCTGTAATAAAGAAAACTTAGACCACGAATTTTCTGAACATATTTGAGCACAAAATGCCTTTTTAAAAGTAAGCATCTCTTTAAACATCCGTAGCTCAGGGTTTGGCAGTACCCCAAGTAAAGAATGTCAATCTCCACCTCACAGCTCTTCTCCTCTCAGTACCTTAAGTCTACAGGAGTAACAAGTGGTCAATATGGGCTTGCTGGTCTCCTCACTGCAATAAATAAGGGCGTTTTCAAATCTCTGCCTCTTTTAAAGCAGCATAGTTCCTTGTCTGTGTGATTTAGCTGTGGTTCTGCCTAAAGAGGGATGCAGAAGATGACTTCTCAAGCATCATCTTGCCGGCTAAGGCGGACCCCGGGAATGGAATCACAAACACACCAAACCCATAACCAGACTCCCATGCTTGAGTCCTCTATGATCTTTCTTTCCGTATGACACAAATTTCTCAACCATGTGCCCACAGGAAACCTGTGGCTCCGTGTGGATTCAGGGGTGCCTTGAGGACGCTCCCAGGAAAGGAGGAGGAGGACCCTTGCAGTTCTGCAGGAACTCTGAGGCGCAGGCAGTCTGACCCCGGGAGAACACTGCCAGGCTGAAGAGCTCAAGTAGGTCGGACAGGCCTGGGGTTAAACGCTCAGGCAGAGCCCCCAGACCCTGGCGGGCGCCCACCCCTGCCACGGCCCACCCCAGCCAACCCCGCCCAGCACACTGGGCTCTGTGCCGCGCCCTAGGCCAGCGTCAGATCCCTAGCCCACCGCGGGCGACCTCACGAACTTGTAGGGGGCGACAGAGCAGACAGTTGGCAGGGTTGCTGCCTCCGTACCTGTCCTGTCAGAGGCTCGGCGCCCGACTCCAGCCCCACCGGCGACCGACGCCCAAGACCCTGCGGGGCTGGCCCCGCCCGGCCGGCCCGCGTAGGCTGCCCGACGCGCCGCCTGTCCCTTCCAGGACCACCCAGAACCCCTCGCCTCCGAGGCCGGGGATGTTCTGGCTCCCAGGAACACGCTACTCTTTCCCGCAGCCCCACCCGAGCTGAAAACGGCGCGCCGAGCGTGGCCGAGAAGACATCGATCAGGCACAAATCTGGACACCTGGGACGAGATATGCGCACGCGCACTGTGCCTGGGAAGACGATTAGGACCATAAGGGAAAAGCGCGTCCTGGAGCGCGTCCCCTGCCGGCGAAGGGGAGAAGGCGCAGAGGGTCTTGAAGACTCATTTGCAAACTTTTCCGTACTAAACTGTTAATTAAAACGACAACGGAAAAAGCATATTTCATCGATTAACTTGGGAAAATAATTAAATTTTGCTGCTACTCAGTATCACCCATCATGTGGGGATACAGGCATTTTTATGACCTTGTAATCAGAATATAAAATAACGCAAATTTACATAATGGCATTTTGGCACTTTTATATTTAAAAAAAATTACGAAGTACAAACTTATTGAACCAATGCGCCAACTTCTGATAATGTGGCCTACAGAAATAATCTAACAAGTATGCAAAGATATTTGTACAAGGATGTTGGGAGAGCCAGGATTTGGATTCGAATTCTAACTACAATTTACTAGGTATGTGAGATCTTGAGTGGGTTACTTAACCTTTCCGTGCCTGTTTCCTCATTTATAAAATGAGAACGTTAATGGTGGTATCTATCTCATTACGTTGTTAGGAGGATTAAGTGAATCCATTTAAAGAGTCTGAACTATAACTATATAATATTTACGTTTATCTCAGTTAATCTCAGATTGAAAACAAACTGAAAAATTCACAAAATAGACGGAGGAGTGGGGGTGGGGTGTAAATAATAGAAGGAATGAATTGAGCACTCCACTCTACTTCTCCTGCTGTCTTTCCCTTTTTACCTTCTAAATATTTCTAATTATTATTCTGAATAGATAATACATTTGCATGGTTCAAAAATCAAAACAATATTTAAAAGTATGCACTGAGAAGCATCCCTTCAACCCTTATTCCCATCTACTTTAACCCCTATGTCTGCTACTAATAATCCTTGTTATTAGTTTCTTGTTTATCTTTTCAGTCTTTTATGCAAATACAAGCACATATGACTATATAGTCTTCTGTTTCTTATGCAAAAGGCAGCATACTATATACACTTGCACCTTGTTTTCTTAACTTAACAATCCTGGATGGCTCGGTGTAGTGGCTCACGTCTGTAATCCCAGCACTCTGGGAGGCCAAGGTGGACAGATCACTCAAGGTCAGGAGTTCGAAACCAGCCTGAGCAAGAGCGAGACACCCCCCCCCCTACTAAAAATAAAAAGAAATTAATTGGCCAACTAAAAATATATAGAAAAAATTAGCCAGGCATGGTGGCGCATGCCTGTAGTCCCAGCTACTCCGGAGGCTGAGGCAGGAGGATCACCTGAGCCCAGGAGTTTGAGGTTGCTGTGAGCCAGGCTGACGCCACAGCACTCTAGCCCGGGCAACAGAGTGAGACTCTGTCTTAAAAAACAAAACAAAACAAATAATCCTGGAGATTCAATAACTTAGAGATCTTCCTTATGTGTTTTTTCAGCTTCATAGTACTCTACTGCATAGATACACATAACTTTAACTTCTTTTTTTTTTTTTTTTTTTTAGAGATAGGGTCTTACTCTGTCACCTGGGCTGGAGTACACTGGCATGATCATAGTTCACTATAACCCTGAACTCCTAGCCTCACGCAATCCTCCTGCTTTGGCCTCCTAAAGTGCTGGGATTACAGGTATGAGCCACTGCACCCAGCCTACACATAATTTATTAACCTGTTTCTTCTATTAAATAGCTGCATATTTTGTTTCCAGGCCTTTAGTATTACAAACAATGTTGCAATGAATCACTTTGCATATAAGACATTCCATACAGGAGCAGGCATATCTGTAGGATACATCTGGGTCAAATAATAATGAATCTATAATTTTAGTAGAAATAGTCTCCACCTCTTTCAAGTAAAAATAAATGGTGTAAAAATTAATTTGCCTGGCAGAGTGGCTCACGCCTGTAATCCCAGCTACTCAGGAGGCTGAGGTGGGAGGATCACTTGAGGCCAGGAGTTCAAGACCAGCCTGAGCAACATAGACTTCATGTCTACAAAACAACAAAAAAAAATTTTTTTTTAAACAGAGTCTCACTCTGTTGCCTGGGCTAGAGTGCTGTGGTGTCAGCCTAGCTCACAGCAACCTCAAACTCCTGGGCTCAATCAATCCTTCTGCCTCAGCCTCCTGAGTAGGTGGGACTACAGGCATGCGCCATCATGCCCAGCTAATTTATATATATATATATGTATTTTTTTTTACTTGGCCAATAAATTTCTATTTTTAGTAGAGACGGGGGTCTCACTCTTGCTCAGGCTGGTTTTGAACTCCTGGCCTTGAGTGATCCGCCCACCTCGGCATCCCAGAGTGCTAGGATTATAGGCGTGAGCCACCGCACCCAGCCTCTACAAAAATTTTTAAAAATTAGCCAGATGTGGTGGCATGTACCTGTGGTCCCAGCTACTAGGGAGGCTGGGTGGGCTCAGCATTTCAAGACTGCAGTAAGCCATGATTGTGCTACTGCACTCCAGACTGGGCAACAAAGCGAGACCCCCTTCTCGGTAAAAAAAGAAAAGACACTACATACACATTTTTATTGTGGTAAAACATACATAATATAAAATATACTATTTGATATAAATATACTACATAATATAAAATATACTACTTAATCATTGTTAAGTGGTTAAGTGATCAGAGACCTGGAGGCGGTGCCAGGGATATCCGTGCTCCATAGCTCACATTAATGGTAGTATCCAAGCCAGTAAGGAAGGGTAGGTATTTGAAAGTGTTGGGTGAACTGTAGGAGGAACATGATAGATGATGTTTGTGTTGGAAAATACTGGGAGGAAAGGGATGTTGTGGGTGCCAAAAGAGTGGGGAGAGGTTAAAAGGAGATGTGAAGACAGGATTGAGAAAAACAGAGGGTGCACAGATGACAAACACAGGGGATAAACAGCTGGTATGGGGATATTGGGAGTATTTGATGGACAAGCCATGTTGGGAGGAGATATGAAGGGTTGAGAGCTGGTGTCGGGAGTGGAGGAGTAGAGGGTATCCCTTGAAGTCTCCAGGGAAGCTCCCCAGTGAATGAAGTCAAAAGCAGTCTGCTGCAGTCATAGCTTTGGTTGAAGGTCAAAGAGTCCCGAGTCCCTGTCAGGTGGTCCTCATCAATGTACCCATGTGCTAGCTGAAAAGAAGACACATTCACCACCTGGGATGACCCTGCCAGTTTCAGGGCCCCTGGGCAGAGAGAGGGCCAAACTCCTCCAACCCAAGTCCTGGGGTAAACTCCCAGGCCCACTCCCCAACCCACTTCTCCAGGAGATTCTAGCTCTTTCAGGGCTTCCTGAGACAGGCAGTGGGCCCCTTGTGCAGGCACCCATGCTAGGCACAGGAGAGCTCAATGTTAACTGAGACCTCATTTTCATTAGCTGCTTTCCTCATGCTCTTCCTCCTCTTTCACTTTAGTATTTGGAATTTTGCCTTGCTTTTCTCCCACTTGCTAATTGGAGCTAACTTAATTGAGCCTTGTTTATATGTTTTATCTCACTGATGGCTAAGAGGGGGAAGAAGAGGCTGAAAACGCCATGAAAGCCGCCTGTCATATGTGCATTCATTCATTCATTTATTCAACCCACAAATGTTCATTAAGTACCTGGAATATGGCAGACACTAAGCTGGGTGCTAGGGACATTAGGGTGTAAGGTTTGGGGGAAAAAATTGTGTTCAGAGACACTTGGGAAAGTGTTAAAAAAGAAAAAACTAAGAACCATCACTGGAAAACTAGCTAAGTATACAAAAAAAAAAATCTAGATTACATAAAGTATAAAAATAGTAGTTGTCATATATGAGTTTACAATATTGTTTTTAAAATGCTAAAAGTATTTTGAAACTTTTATGTATGTATTTATTTATTTTAGCCTTACATTTAAATTGAGAATTACATTGCTTAAGCCCAGGAGTTCGAGGCTATAGTTAGTTATGATGACATGACTGCACTTTAACCTGGGCAACAGAGGGAGACCTGTCTCAAAAAATGAAAAAGACAGAAGGAAGGAAGGGAGAGAGGAAGGGAGGAAGGAAGGAAGGAATCACAAATGCAAATTTTAGCAGGCGGTATTTAGCCAAAAATGTCTGGAAAAACAATGATTCTTAAAGAGGACAGTGGACCCAAACTTGCAGACATAGTGACATAAAGACCAAAAGAGACCCCTGACAAGAGGCAGAAGGTGGCTATGGGAGATAGTAAGTCACCAGAATGCCTAGGGTACAGGGAAGAGGGGCCAGCACAGATGGGCACAGAAGGTGCCAATCTTTCCTTGGAGTAGATTTGCAAGCAGAAAGGGCCCAACATAGCTGGCAGCAAAGGTGAGATCCAGGCTCTCTGGGGTAGATGTCTTGGGGAACCCTGGGAGGAGATGAGAACACAGGTGGTGAGAAGTGAAGGGACTACCCTGAGGGAGGCAAGGGCTAGGGGGAGAGGTTAGGGTTCAGGAGAAATGCCATAGGGACATGTACATGCAAAGATGGGGGCAATGAAGTTTGAGGCTGTAACTCAGTGTAGGTCTTTTAGGAGAGCATATGGATTAGAAAGTTTAAGCAGGATTGTATAGGTTAGGCTTTGGGGATACTTGTTTGCGGATCCCTGAGCTAGAAAGGAGGCTGCTGAAATGCGTTTGGTGAAGCAAGCTAAGGCATACACTACTGACTCCAGCCTTGTTTACCAGCAGGTATATCTCAGGATCCTCCTGCAGAAGCCACTGGGCAAAACTCCAAATGGAGGCCAAACAGCTGAGGCCCACCTTGCCAAGCTGTTTGAGGCTGCCTGGATCTCAGCCAGGGCTCACTGTCCATGCTCCTGGCTCTGGCAGCCAAGGAGCACATGGGCCCCACACCAGGCCAGCTCCTGCAACACAACCTTCCCAATACCTGTGGGAGGGCAGCTTCGGAGTAGGCTAGTCTGGGCAGTGATTAGAGTGGAGAGCCAAGGGTGCCAACAGCAGGTGCTCCTCTCTGTCCCCCCCCCCCACTGTTGGGGTTGTTGAGGGCTAAGCCTCCTAGTGACAGGGTAGAAGGAGAACTTGCCACTGTTGGCCTCAGTCACTACTGCCATTTTCCCAGCCTGATCTGTGGAACAGCACTAGAGGTCCCAGGGATGAGACTTCTGTCAGAGCTGCACACACAGTCCAAGCAGGAGGATCAGAATAAGGAGCACAGAGCCAGGACCCCAGCCCAGGGTGCGAGTGGAGCCCACAGCAACAGAACAGAGACAGCCTGGGCCCGACATTGGGAAGTGCTACAGGAGGAAGTTGGGGGCTGGGTAAATCAAAGCAGAGTGGGGACTAGAAATGAGGCAGGTATGGAACCTAATACAAAATTTAAGGAGGCACTCACTGTTGAGCTTGTTCAACACACAGTTTGAACCTGAAAGAGTTCTTCTGTAAATGTGCCCTGGACACCTGATTGCACCTGCCACAAGGCAGAGATCAAGAGGATCAGGACTTCCTTGAGTCCTATATACATCCAAATCTGTCTCTAAAAGTAAAATCTGGATTTGCAGTCTAAGGTAAATTGACCAAGCTCCAGGGACCAGGGGAGTGAGAAATCAAGTCTGTCATGCCTTGAATCACTCTGTGCCTAAGCAGGGCCATCCCCTTCCTGCTCTACTGAAAGGAGACTGAAAGTTGTCCCTATAGAGCCAAACCCACTTGCAGCGCTGATGTCTACTCCTTAGGGGAGGTGGGTTTCTCCAGAATACCTCTGCTGGGGAGAAGCCTTGGCCCAAATGCAGGGTCTCCTAAGGGTGGTGGTGAGGCTATTCCCTAGAACAAGTGTTCTATCTTCTTCTAGGTCTGCACTTGGGGTTCTGCTGCACTTGGGGTTCAGTGAGAAAGTAAACACCCTTGGAAGAAACTGACAGAGACATCAGACCAATTCTTAAGGCAACTCAGGTGTTTATTTCTGGCAGGCAAACAGAGGCAAGGGCCAGTTCCTACTGCCAGAGGCTCAGGGCTCAGAATGGGGCAGGGGCTTGCAAGGGATCGACCACACTTTGGGGGTTGAGTCCATTAGCTGTGCCGCAGTCACCTGGGGCTTTGGCGCACCTGTCGGGATGGGTTGCTGGTCAATGGGAGGAAAGGTGTCACCATCTTTGTCCTCCTCCTGGGGCACGGCAGAGCTGAGCATCACCTGGGTACTCGGGTTCCACATGCTTACACCACGAGACAGCTGCATGGCTTCTGGCAGCAACATGGGCTTCCACATCACCTGGGACGTGGCGTCGAGGAAGTGGGGTGTATTTTGAAGCCATCTAGGGGGATCCTGATCCTCCCTGTCTGTGGCCTCCAGGCCCTGTGCAGACACTCGGGTCCGGCCAGCCCACAGGTCACCCAGCAGCTCAGCCTCCCCCTCCCAGCCGCTAGGCCACTTGGCACTGGGCCACAGCTTGGGGCTGGGGCTGCGAGCCACATCAAGGAGCGCCGGGTGCGCAGTGAGGAAACGGAGCCCGGGGCTGGGGGATGGCAGCTTTGACCCGAAGGTTGGCGACGGTAGGCGTAAGTTTAAAATCGGGGATCGGGGTCGGTGGCCTGGGCTCAAGGCACGGAAAGGAAAGAACTTTGCCTCAAAGACGCGGAGACCCGGGCTAGAGGTTTTGGGTTCCACGGGGGCCTCGGTCTTTTCATCCCGCTGACGACCGAGGTAGGCTTCCAAGGGGCGCATATCGGAGTCTGGGACCAGGACCTCAGCCTGGGGGCGCACCCAGTGGCGCGGGAACCGCGCGGGGTCCAGGCGCGGGGCCGCCTTACGGCCCGCTCTGTAGGGAGGCGCGCTCAGCAGCACATCCGGGCACCAGGGCTGCTGGAAGGACTTTGAGAGACAGGGCCCGGTGGGGCTGTGCCTAGCGGGGACCGACACGCCCGAGGCCACGTGGGGTGACCCCTCTGTCTTGGGCTCCAGCTGGTCCCTAGCCGCGTCCAGCTGGGGCATACCATAGCTGAGATCTTCCAACAACTGGAAGCTGAGGGGCTGTACCGTCTCGTCTGAGGCCCGGGAGCTCTCCACCAGGGACAGCTCCGGAGAAGGACTGCCGTCAAACTCCGCCTCCACCGAGGATTGGGAGCTCTCCTTCAAGGACTTGGCGACAAGGGGCTCCTTTTCCTCTAAAGAACCTCTGGGCTCTGCCTCTTGAAACAGCTCTAGTGTGAGAGGGGGGCCCGGGGTGACTGTCAGCTCCGGAGAAGGCTCCAAAGATTCCATCTGCTCTTGGGAGCCTCTACCCATCCATGATCTTCCTAAAGCGATCTGGTCCAAGTTCCCGGGGTCCTAGGGAAATGCATCAGGTAGTGAGATGTCGGAAAGGAGAGAAAAGCACTAAGGACAAAGGAGTCCTGAGAGGCTCCTGAAGAGGTCAAGGAAGCGACAGGGGTCCTGGGTCAGGAGAGGGCTGGGGGCTGGGCTTACTTCGCCTTTGAAGTTCTCCTGCAGGCCCTCAAAGGTGGGTGTGTGCAGCACTGGCACTGAACCTTGAGCCCAGGAGTCTATCGTGCACGGCAATGGCTCCTCATCCTCTCCCCATGTGGGGTCTTCAGCCACTGCAGATTCTCCCTTGTCTTGGACTAGGAAGCGCCACTCAGTGATCTGCAGCATGGCCTCCCGGGCCTGGCTGATGGTGAATGGAATGCACTGCGGAAGCAAGGGTGAGAAAGGGTCTCTCAAGCTGGCAAGGAGGCGCGGGAGGTGCAGGAGATAAGTCTAAAGGACCCGGATCCAAGCCTACCTGCTGGGTCAGGTAGACTTTGAAGGCGGAATCCAGGACCCGAGCCAGCATATCCGCCAAGATGTCACCCACCACCTCCTCTCCCTCCTCGAGAGCCGCAAGCGCCATCCACTCGGCCTCATTGAGCCTCCCAGGCACGATATCCACCTGTGGCACTGGCACAGTGGGTGGCCGTGCCTTTTCTGCCTTGGATCGGGTCGCCCCACGGTCTCGCTGCTGCCTTTCCTGCCTCTCCTGCCTCTGTGGGAACAGAACAGGGCAGTCAGGGCAGGGACCAAGGAGGCAGGGACCACCATCGGCTATGTGCTAGGAGGAAACTTTTTCAAGTTGTCTAGTAGGAAGGAAAAGGGAATTGGACGACAATTTACTAAGAGTCTACTATGTGACAGATGCTTCTAGGTGTTTGACCTAATTAATTTAATTTTCAAAACAGCCCACTAAGCCCATTTTACAAAGAAACTTAAGTTTGACAGAAGTTAACCATGACTTGCTTGGGAGCACAGGGCAAGCAAGCCCAGGCTATATATAGCTCTAACTCCATGGCCCTTGCTATTTGCACTAGTGCAAAGTGTTCAAAATTCTTGAGGGTTCAAAGAACCTGCAAAAGACAAGACCATAAACAGTGCTGCAATTACTGGTGCTATTTGGAGTCTCTTTTACATTTTTTTTTTTTTTTACCAACTATGGTATCTCCATTTTACAATAATTTGCCCAGGATCACACAAGTAGAAAGTAGTGGAGTCAGAATTCATACGCAGGTCTGTCTGACTCTAGAGACTAATTCTATCCTGCCTCCCAAACAAAAACATTTGCAACAAATATGAAAAACAACAAATATTCTCCAATACATTAAAAAACTCATATAAAAAAGATAAGCTGGTGGGCATGGTGGCATGTGCCTATAGTCCCAGCTACTCAGAAGGCTGAGGATCAATTGAGTCCAGGAGTTTGAGTCCAGCCTGGTCAACACAGCAAGACCCCATCTCTTAAAAAAAAAAAGAAGAAGAAGAAGAAGAAGAAGAAGAAAAACCATTTAAGATCCCAAAGATAAGCAAAGGACATAACATTTCACAAAAGAGGATCTATAGATGACTAATAAATACAATGAAAAGATGTCCAACCTTTAAAACATCAAAATATGCAAATTTAATTGAGATTCTGATTTTTAAGAGTCTCATGCTCTACCAACTGAGCTAGCTGGGCAAACGCAACAGATTCTGATTTTTAGATCAGCAAATTAGAAGTTATTTTCAAAATAGGAATACTCAACACTGGCAAATGTTTGGGAAAGTACATAGTGTGACACCATGCTGACGGGAATGTTAAAAACTGCCAATCAGCAGTATGTATCAAGAGCCTTAAAAAATGTTTTTACTCCTTCAGCCCTGCAATTTCAGTTCTATAAATACAGCCAAAGGCATCTTCTGAAATGAAAATAAAAACATATTTTCCAACATATTCCCTGTGGTATTTTTTATAATAGTAGAATATTGAAAACATGTCTAAGAAAAAAAAAAAGAATAGGTGGTTAATTTTGCTATATGTATGTGCTATATATGATGGCATATTATGCAATGATTAAAGGTCATCTTTAGGCCAGGCGCAGTGGCTCACTCCTGTAATCCTAGCACTCTGGGAGGCCGAGGCGGGCGGATTGCTTGAGGTCAGGAGTTCAAAACCAGCCTGAGCAAGAGCAAGACCCCATCTCTACTATAAACATAGAAAGAAATTAATTGGCCAACTAGTATATATAGAAAAAATTAGCCGGGCATGGTGGCGCATGCCTATAGTCCCAGCTACTCAGGAGGCTGAGGCAGCAGGATTGTTTGAGCCCAGGAGTTTGAGGTTGCTGTGAGCTAGGCTGATGCCACGGCACTCACTCTAGCCTGGGCAACAAAGCGAGACTCTGTCTCAAAAAAAAAAAACCAAAAAAAAGAAAAGGTCATCTTTAGGAAGAATTTGCAATGGCATAGGAAAATGCTTATGATGTAATGTTTAGTGAAAGAATACAAAATTACATATCAATTATTTTCTCAGATATGTGAACCAGTCTGTGTTAAAGAAAAGGAAAACACTAAAATGATAACAGAAGGTATGTTTCCTTCCTATGCTCTTTTCTATTTTAGAAGTACTCTACAATGAGTTTGTATCCTTTTATAATCACTTAAAAAGACTAGTCCCCAAAACTTATGTTAGGGACATAGCAATTTACCAAGTCTCTTGAGAGTCTCCTCACTTCCCACAACACTGTCCTATAACCTGGTTCCTTCCAAAATTTACCTCCAATTGTGATCTTCTTAAATCTTTGCCTACCACACTCCCCTTACACACACACACAACCTTATTATTGTTTCATACCTCGTGTTCCCTAAAATTCATTCTCCCCTGAAATCAGGTGTTTCCTAAATCTCACACTGAAATCAAAATCCCTTAAGCCACATTTCCCTTTGCCACCATCGAGAACAGCCCTGTGGCAAGCATCAGGAGTGGTCCACAGCCCAGGCCAAGCTCTACCAGAGCTGAGCAAATAGGACTGGGACAAGGGGCAGATAGGACTGGGACAAGAGAATTGGTTCCTGGCCAGGAGCAGTGGCTCATGCCTGTAGTCCTAGCACTTTGGGAGGCTGAGGCGGGTGGATCACTTGAGGTCAGGAGTTTGAGACTGGCCTGATCAAGAGCGAGATCCTGTCTCTACAAAAAATAGAAAACTAGCTGGCCTTCTACTTGGAAGGCTGAGGCAGGAGGATCATTTGAGCCCAGAAGTGTGAGGTTGCAATGAGCTATGATCATGTCACTGCCCTCTATCCCAGGCAACAAGGTCGTGGACAAAGACATTTAACAAAAGCTCTTCAAATCTGTTTTATTATAAAATTTCTTGGCTTTTGAATAATTTGCCTTTCAAGTGCAGCCTCAGAGATGTTGTGTAATTCATTTCTTCCTTCTGAAATTCTCTAAATAGATGATTTATCTATCATCACCACTCCCCAAATGCCTATTTCTGGTTTATCCAATTAAATAAGCACTTCAATGCAAGGGAAATATTACGTACATTAGCTGTTTCCACATTTACTTCTTGTTCTCAGGCTCTACACCACCCGAGTGTGACAAAGCATGTGGCTCCCTGGGTCATCGAGAACGCCCACACGATGGGCGGAAGCAAGTAGGGGCGCCGGGCGGCGCAGAGCTGGCCCACTGTTCCCGACCGACCTCAACGCCCATCCCTGGCTCCGGCGCACCCCCAGCTAAGCTAACGCTCACCGAGCCTTCGTGAGCCATAGCCACAGCAGTCGCGACCGCAGCAACCCTGGCGTTTCATCTGCACCCCGGCCTCCGGGCAGCCTAACGGTCGCCTCGGCAACCACGCGACGCGCAGGGTCGAGCGCCCCGCCGGGTCGAGCGCCCCGCCCACAGTTGCTCCGGCAACCGCGCTGCGCGCTCCAGCCATTCACCCCGCCCAACGGCCGTGCGTACGTGCGTCGTCTCTATGGTGGCGGCGGATTCGGAGGGACCGAACGCACCCGGAGTCAGGCAAGGGGATCTGGGGCTGCGGGTGTGACCTCTGACCTGGGTTGGGGGCTTCGGGGAGCTCAACCGAGGGGAAAAAAGTCTAGGGTAGGGGCGTCATCGCGCCTTCTTAGCACGTCGCTTGGGGCCACCAGGTGGTCCTGTGCCATCACCATTGCACCTCTAGAATTCCCCCCGCATCGCCTCATGACTCAGCCCTGGGACTTCTCTCTCCTGCTCCAGAGCTACTCTCCACGTCATGTGACCCCCCTCCGCACCCCCCTCCAGTCACCGCGCTGGGGTTACCCCTTCGTGTGACCCAGACTCCAGGGTCTCCCGAAGCGCCTCCTGATAGCCACCCTTTCAGGAATCTCCGCTGTCGTCTGTTTCCCGCGCGCCTGGTGATTCGGGTGTCCCTCCCCAGGATGTTCCGGCGAGAGCGCTCTATTCCCCTTCGAGGCTCGGCCGCCGCCCTGTGCAACAACCTCAGTGTGCTGCAACTGCCGGCCCGCAACCTCACGCATTTTGGAGTGGTTCATGGACCGAGCGCCCAGCTTCTCAGCGCTGCCCCTGAGGGTGTGTCCTTGGCCCAGCGCCAACTCCACGCCAAGGAGGGCGCTGGAGTGAGCCCCCCACTTATTACTCAGGTGAGGCATAGAGTTGGGAGTGGCGTTGCTGAACCCAGGCCTACCCTTTCTCTCCAAATCTCAAAGGAGTAGGCCTTCCCTAACCTCTGAATTTACACTCTGACTTCTCGTTTCCCCTGCTCTGATTTTCTCCCTACACTGATCCACCTCCTTCCAGGTCCACTGGTGTGTCCTCCCCTTCCGAGTACTGCTGGTACTCACCTCACACCGAGGAATACAGGTAAGAACACCCTCCTGCCTTACCCCACAGTCTTGTCAGCTCCCCTGCAGGGATTCCAGACCCTTCCCCACTTGCCTCTAAACACTTCCAAACTTTTCACATGCTTAACCCACTCCCTTTTTCTATTTCTCATTTTAATTCCTTACATCTTTTCTAGTTCCCAAGTGCCACCTCCAAAATCTGCCCCTTTACCAGTTGTATGACTATAGGCAATTAACTACTCAGAACCTCAGTGTCTTCCTCTGTAAAATGGGGATAAAAGTAGTACCTACCTCCCAGAATTGTTTTGAGGATTAAATGGGCTAAAGCTAACATGTATATGTGAAGTACTCAGTACAGAGCTGGCAGAAGTCAGCTGGATTATGTTCCCATCCTTGCCCTTGTTTTGCAGATGTACGAGTCTGATGGCTCTGTCATGGTCTACTGGCACGCTCTGGACTCTGGAGATGCTTCTCCAAGTACCTGCAGGACCAAGTGGGGTGGGGGTAGGGATTGCTTGCTGGGGCTGGGAGAAGTACTATTTCTGATAATTTTCCCCTTTCATACTCAGTACAGGCTGTGTTTGCCCGAGGAATTGCTGCCAGTGGCCACTACATCTGTGTGGGTGAGGGGACCAGGGGCAGGGCATTGATGAATGCTGGGAGCATAGGGGTGTGAGCTTTGGGCAGGAGAATGCTAAGGGCCTGAGGAAATTGTGGAGGGTTAGAGGGAAGGGTGGGAGTGGAGGGTAATCTGAAAGAATTCCAAAAAGCCACAGAGGGGTTCAGAGGGGCAGGGTGGGATAGGAGGGTAATGAATGGCGGGGCAGGGCTATCAGAGCAGTGAGAGGTGGGTTTGTTACTAAGGTTTCCGGGACAGAGGGAATCCTGAGTGTGGTGGCTGGAGGGTCAGGGACCCAGGAGGGTCGGGGAGCCATCAGTGGGGCACTGGTTTTGGCTGCAGGAACATGGTCAGGCCGGGTGCTGGTGTTTGACATCCCAGCCAAGGGTCCCAACATTGTACTGAGTGAGGAGCTGGCTGGGCACCAGACGCCAGTCACAGACATTGCCACCGAGCCTGCCCAAGGACAGGTGAGTAGATATCTCCTACCTATTCCAGTGAGCCTTGGAACTTTCCCCACTCTGGGATGGAGGGGACTTGGGTTCAGGTCTTGGCTCTGCCACTAAGCAGCTGGATGACTTTGGGCAAATCTCCACCTCCTTAGTCTTTGGCAACCTTGGATCCAGTGATAAAGCCAGAGATATTTTATTTATATGGCAGTTTATAGTTCACTAAAACTTTTTAATACAGGTGTGAATTTCTAAGTTGCTTTCCAGCTCTGACATGTGTAGCTTTCTTCTCTGGACTTGGGCACATCCTACTTACTCTGGCCCAGCTCCAGTGCCATCTTCTCCAGGAAGCCTTCCCCCTATTCCAGCTCCCACTGATTCCCTTAGCTGAACCCTGAATTGACAGTGCCCTCAAAGACAACTCTTGTCTCTCCAATTGGTTTGCAAACCTTTTGAGAGCAGGGTATATATTTCCTAATTCATACTCTCCACTGTGCCTGGTACAGGGCTGGGCCCATGAGCTATGCTGGCTGCCAAGTGTTGGGGGTTGGAAGGCCCAGGGTCTAGGCATGACTGACTGGCTCGCTCACTGCAAGACCTCCAAAGACAACTGTATACCCCCTCTTAACATATGATGTGTGTGTGAGAGGGAAGCTATGAGACTCTATAAAGAAATGCAAGGGAAGCAGTTCATGCTTCCTGAGGGAACCCTGGGGAAGGTTTCTTGTGGGTCCAGCTGGTGACGGCTCCACACAAATACTGCCTCCCTGCCTCTCCTGCCCTGTGTACAGGACCAGAGCAGGGGAGAAAGGCTGATCCCACCTTTCCCCCTCAGGATTGTGTGGTTGACATGGTGACGGCAGATGACTCAGGCTTGTTGTGTGTCTGGCGGTCAGGGCCAGAATTCAAATTACTGACCCGCATTCCAGGATTCGGGTAGGTGAGGCAGAAGGGGGTGGAGGCCTTCCTGAGGTAGCTTCAGGATGGGGATTGGGACTGGGTCTGGTGAAATCAAAATTGGGTGTCACCCTTGCAGAGTCCCATGCCCCTCTGTGCAGCTGTGGCAGGGGATCATAGCAGCAGGCTATGGGAATGGGCAAGTTCGTCTGTATGAGGCTACTACAGGAACTCTACACGCCCAGATCAACGCCCATGCCCGGGCCATCTGTGCCCTGGACCTAGCTCCTGAGATGGGCAAGGTCAGTCTCCTCCTCTATCCCTGCATACCCTTTTTCCTGGTGCTGGGATGTTGAGAGAACATCATAGGCTTGTCTTTGCTACTTAATATAGTCCTCCTCGGCCAGGTGCGGTGGCTCACGCCTGTAATCCTAGCACTCTGGGAGGCCAAGGTGGGCGGATGGCTCAAGGTCTGGAGTTCAAAACCAGCCTGAGCAAGAGCAAGACCCCATCTCTACTATAAATAGAAAGAAATTAATTGGCCAACTAGTATATGTAGAAAAAATTAGCCAGGCATGGTGGCGAATGCCTGTAGTCCCAGCTACTCAGGAGGCTGAGGCAGCAGGATCACTTGAGCCCAGGAGTTTGAGGTTGCTGTGAGCTAGGCTAACGCCACGGCACTCACTCTAGCCTAGGCAACACAGTGAGACTCTGTCTCAAAAAAAAAAAATAATAATAATAATATAATATAGTCCTCCTCCCCAGGGCACCTGGACTGGACATTCCAGCCTATACCTGTCCCCTGCTAGGGCATTCTGACTCCCATTCATTCCTCCCTGCTTTTATTAATAGCTACTCTCCGCAGCTGAGGACACCTTTGTGCATATCTGGAAGCTGAGCAGAAGCCCAGAGAGTGGCTACATTGAGGTCTGTGTCATGGGAGGGGTGGAATGGGGGGTCTGAGCTTGAGGCACCAGGCCTTGACCAGCCCATTTCTCCTCCAGGTGGAACACTGTCATGGTGAGTGTGTGTTCGACACCCAGGTGTGTGGTGCTCGATTCTGTGATCCCTCAGGCAACTCCTTTGCTGTGACTGGCTACGACCTCGCTGAGATCCTGCGATTCAGCAGTGTGTGAGCGAAGAGCAGTTTCCTTTCTCCCTATACTTTGTTATATTTATAAAGTACCCCTTCTACCCAATCCTGGTCTGACTACTCAGTACCACAGTCATACTTCACAACTGGTGAACTCAGCCCCAAGGATGAGGTGGGACACATCTAGACCAATCAGAGAGATAACCTGTCCTCAAGAACCAGGTAAAGCCTGCTGTTAAATAACTTTAATAGTTGATGTGGGAGTCACAAGGGAGGTGCCTTCCCTCCCAGGGCTCTTCAGTGCCATCCTCAAAGTTGGTTAGTGCAGGGAGGTAGGGCATAGTTGGTTCCAGTTTTCTCCCAGGAAGGGTTTAGGGGGTCCCAGCCAGCTTCGGGAATGAGTCCCTCAGTACCATGGCAACCACAACTTAAGAGGGGCTTCTGACCCCCTTCCCCAGCCTATCCCCAGTCCAGCAGAGGAAGAAGAGGCCAAGCTGGTCAACTTGCTACAGACAGTGTCGTATCCAGAGCCCAATTGCACATGGGTTTGTCATTTTCTCTTCTGGCAAGATCCTGTTGCCAGCACCTTTCTTTCTCACACTGGTGACTGGAGCCAAGTGCGGGGTGGGCCTTTGCTGCAGAGGCCTCTGGACCGTGGGGATCGCTGCACAGGGAGAGGGGCAACCGAGCGGGAAGCCCCAGGGGAATGGTCTGGGGGGACAGCATCCAAGGAAAAGGTTCGGGGTCGCCCCCAGGGCAGGGGGTGGGTCCAGGCTGGGGCTGGAGCCACTGATGCAGGCAAGCAGGGGTTAGGCAGGGTAGGCTGGTCTGTAAACATTGCTAGCCAGGGTGGGGGTGCCTCCAGCCTTGCTCCCTCCCGCTGGGCCAGGATGTCTGTCACCGCTGCGATGTCATCCAGCGGCTCAATAGCTGTGGCACCAGGAAGGGGTGGAGGGGAGGGGGCTAGTCAGATCTCGGGCCCTAGACCTACCCATCCCTGACTATCACCTGTCACTGTAATAGGAGGAAAGCAAAGCCCGGATCTCAGCTGAGATTGCATTATCCTGCAGGAGCAGCCCCTCACCTGGGCCCCCTGGGACCACAGGCTCTGATAAAACTGTGGCATATGGGGTTTATAGGGAGGGGAACAGGTGAAGAAGCCAAGAAAGAAGAGAAAAATGAAAGCAGTGCCAGGCAAGTGAGGGGTCAGAGGAAGAGACAGGAATCCGCATGCAGAAAGGGAAACAGAAAAAAAGAAATTAGGAAAGAAATACATGAAATGAGTCTGGCTCTTTGGGGTTTTGTTTGAACTTTGGTGGAGATGATTCTAAGAAAAGTTGGAGAGGAGAAAGGAATACAGCAGAACTGGGGAAGACTTGGTCCCCAGAAATCTGCCTTAGCCCCAAGTGTGCTTTCTCTGATTCGATGACCTGGCTTCCCCTGAACCCGCCCCCACCACCCCCGACTTCCTACCAGGTTCCTAGAGTACACTTTTTGTCTCACTCACCCATCTCATGGTACAAGGACCCCTGCTTGGCCATTGTTTGGGGTGGTTTCCGGGGAGCAGGAGTTTCAATTTTCATGATTTCATCACAGCACTGCTTCCACTGGCCTGGAGGAAGAGCACTGATTGGAAGAGAGGGCCAGGCTGCCCTCTCTCCTGCTACCTTCCCTAGCAATCTTGAAATAAGAGGCCTTGGTAATAATAACAAATCCCAGTCTCTCCCAGAGGCTCATCCCAGTCCCCTTCTCTCTTACTCATGTCAAAGAAAAGCTGCCACAGAGCCTCCATCCAGCTCTGCAGGGCTTCTCGACTCTCTGTCTGAAGGGTGTGCGTCACCTCGTCATCTCCGTACCGGTTACTGACACTTAGGGTGAAAGGCCGTCCTGGGGCCTGGTCCAGTTCCCCGGCCCGGACTCGAGTCTCCTGCAGGAAAAAGAAGAGGTCTGCTTCCACCTCCACCTTGGTCATGGAAGTTGGCAGTGACATCAGGCAGCTCTGATTACCCCTGCCTTAGAAGGAAGAGCCCTCATTTGCCTCCCACTGACCAGAGTGGGAAGGAATGGCAGGAAAGGGCTGGGGATGGGACAGACAGTCCTGAGTCAGAGAAGGAGGAGCAGACTGAGACAAGAAAACAGGGACTGAACAAGGGAGGGAAGACACAAAGGTAGGCAAGAATGCAGAGGCCAAAGATCCCTCAGAACTTCCAAAAAATAGTCAGGAGCCAAGAAAAGGGCTAGGGAGCAAAGATGGGCAATTGGACCTGTGTCAGGAGAAAAAAACAGGAAGTAGTAAAATAGATGCAAATTGGAATTAGAGGGGGGAGGGGAAAGGAAGATGAAAAGCCTAAACTGTTGTTAAAACCTTGAGACTTGGCAGGGGCTGAGGACGTGAGCGGGAGGGATGACCCTTTTCCAGTGATGCTGTGGTGTGGGAGAACACGGTCCAGCATCCCTGGCCCCGAAGTTGGGTATGGTGTTGTCAGGAGCAAAAAGTCAGCTTGCATCTCTCTGAGGCCTGCACCCACCCTCCTGGGACCTGAAGGAGAGGTTTCTGGTCCCAGGTGCCTGGTGGCCTCACCACCAAGGGACCCATCACCTTGTTGATGGCAATAGTAAACAGCGGCTCTTCTCCAGTGTCTGCATCCTCAGGTCGCCGGTAACAGAAGAGGTTTGTGCCTTTCAGGACTCCATGCACTCGTGCCCAGTTCTGCGTCTCCCCTGCTTGCTGCATAAATGACTCAATGTTTCCTGGGGGAGTCACACTCCCCAACACCCCTCTTAGCGCCCCCACCAAGAACTTGGTCCCTTTGCCCACCCTCCTGTCCATTCTACCCCTTATCTTGCCATAACCCCCTTCCTCTACCCAGTACTTGAATTTTTAATAGTTCTATTCCTAGGTGATCCAGCTGTCCTCTGCCTTCTCCCTGTTCCCTTTCACTCCTCAGGGCCCCCTCACCTGCACCCTGAGGGTACCACTTGCTGTGGGCTGAGTCATGCAGAGAGGCTGAGCCGCCAGGCGGCAACACACGCTACCATAAAGGGGCAGCCAGGCAGGGTTCTCCTCTGGGGGAGGAGGAAGTGCAGGGTGAGTGTGGGAAATGAGAAGGGAATCATCCCACAGCCCCTCTTGTCACCATCACACATGCGTGTCCCCCACGCACACACATACTCACCATGACTGGCAAGGGTGAGGTCATGTGTGCGGAACCCATCTTGCACTGCTGCCAGGGTGAGAGTGGTGTGAGCCAAGAGGTGGTAACGAGGACCACTAAAGGAGAGACAGGAGGGCCATCAGCTGAGTGGGGGCATGTCAGGCAGCAGGACCTATTAAGGGCTGAGCAGGTCTGCCCCCATTATTCAGGCTGCCCCACAGAAAATCAGCTTGCCTGGCCAACAGGGATCAGGAACAAACATTTACTGAGCTCCTGCTAAGAGCCAGGACCTGTGCTTTATATTTAATGTATGTTATCCCACTGTATTTCCATGGCAGCCCTGTGAGATTGGTGGCATTCTTTTATTTGTTGTTGTTAGTTTTTAGAAGATACTTGATAAAGAGGTAGCATTCTTTAGTTAGATGAGACAACTTAAGGTTTAGGTTAAGAAACTGTCTCATAATTTATAGCTGTTGAGTGGTGAAGCTAGAATTTGAACCCATTTGCACCCATGTCTGTGTCCAAAATCAATATTCTGTTCATTGCCCCAGTGGTTCTCAAACTGCTCCTTAGGAGTCCCAGTAGTCCACAAGGTGTCTTTAGGTGCCTAAAGATACCATCACAGGACCCGGGCTACACTGTTCCACATAGGGAGCTGTGTCCTATCGACATAAGATGTATTTGTTGCTGCTAAAAAGTTATGACCCCAGAGCTTAACTCTCCCTGCTTCCTGCTGGTCTTCTGGACTGGCTTGGGGTACAGGCCAGGTACCTCCCAGATGTGTGGCTGCTGCTCATGCATGTCTACACATCCTGGCAGCAGTGCAAGATGGGCTCTGCATGCTCAACACAGTAAGTGGCTTAGGGCAGTGGGGGAGTGCAAGGTCTTACCCCACAGCTGGGGTGGGGAGCAAGATGGGACTGCTTCCTGAACCCCCAGCACTGTCCAGCGATGCTCGGACACGTCTCCCTGAGGAGCGGCCCAGCGAGCTGCTGAGTTTGGTGGCAAGCCTCTTGGGGGCACCTGCCAGGGCACCTTCTTCTTCCACACAGGCCCCATACAGCTCCAGCCGTAGTTCAAAGTCTGGCCCCACCTCAGTGCTAGTGGAGGAAGGGAGGAGAATTGTCATGGGGAAATCTGAGGAGGCACAGAGGGTGGGGAACGTGGGTGATGCAAGTATAGGCAGCTCCCAGAGAAGCCCAGGTGCCCATCTCCCCTCCCCCCTCTCTTCCTCCCCCTCCCCAGAATGAGGCACTCACAAGAGCACATTGTTCTGAAAGGAGATGTCTGTGAGTGTCCTGTCCACTAGGATCATCTCTGTGTCCTGAATGTGTTCCCCTAGCTGCAGAAGTAGGAACACAGCCCAGCGGTGCAAGTCTGGGGACAAAGAGAACAAAACTGATAAAAACATGCCCCACAAGAGTGTCCTACCTCAAACTCACTCCCCTGAATTTATCCCAGGGTGTGTGGAACTCACCACCTTTGTTCTTGAAATATTCTGTGTCCTTCCACATGAGTGGAATCCGGAGGTCTAAGGAGCAGAGGGGTAGGAATAGATGTTAAGATGAGGCAGGAGGTCATGTGGTGGGGCCAGGGGTGCCAGCAGCTGGGGTAGCTGTGCTTCTTACCGGAGATGCAGACCCGACCGCGGCTGGGGGAGCGCTCAGCAGGCGAGCTGCTGTCAGAAGGCCTGTGGATAAGGCACAGTGTCCTGGCCTAGCCTCTAGATACTACTCACCTACGCTCTGGTTCCCAAGGGCTCTAGGATCCCCCTGGTCCCAGGGTCTCAGCCCTTAGGTTCCCAGACAGGCTGACAGGGTAGGGCCGAGGGACTGTGAGCAAGAGTTCTCAATTGCACCCAGCAATTTGCCAGGCTTGGGACACTGGGGACACTTGAGCCACATTAGCTCACATACACAATATGCAAGGGCTTCTCCCCTCCAAGCACCCTCCCTGACCACTTCTCCAGACCCCTGCCAGAGACAAGAGGGACTTCAGGACAGGTGCCCACAGAAAGCCTTTCACAGGCTCTCCTCCATTAAACCCCAGGCTCAGAGGGGTTTGCAAGCTTTTCTTTTTAATAGAGAGGCTGCTGAGTTCCACTGTCTCATCACTTTTTTGATGTAAGAGGGTACCAGGTCAGTCAGAAAATAATTTGGCCTGTGTTTTTATGAAAGAAGAAAACACGAGCAGGGAACGTTTGTGTTCTGCTTCCCACCGACCCTCTCCTTTCTCCCAGCTTTGATCTCTCCTTTTCCCTCCTGGCCAGATGTGCTGCACCCTCCCAGTGCCCCAAGTTCCGCAGCCCCCAACTGAAGGGCCCCAGACACCCAGCCTTCCTCACCTCTCGGCCCATCATCAGGACTCTCACCAAGTGCGTGTCCTTCTCCCAAAGTAACAGTTTACCTGTACTTATTCACGATACCACTAATGTAATTGCCAACTTAGTAGGGCCTTAAGCTAAATGATGTGGCACTAATGGCAATGTGTTTAGCTGCCAGGGACTTGGAGTATACTTCAAATCACATTGTGGGGATATGTGGGGACTGAGGCCAGGCAGAGCCTATCAATGGCCACCTCTCAGGAGGCAGCACCCTCCCAGGAGAGGCTGTCCCCCTTGCCTGCTTGTCCTTCCTCTAGCTGCATGGGATAGCTGTAGAGTGGGTTTCCTGCCTTCTCTTGGTGGCCTCATGGGTGAGCTCCTGGAAGTCTCACCTTGTGTCAGCCTTCATGGCTGGGATGGGCACCATGCCAGTGAAGGGCCAGGACCATCTCCCCATGCAGCTGCAATGGGGCAAGCAGGCCACTGCCAGAAGCCAATTCTCCAAGTGACCAATTGCCAAAAATGGCCAGTCCTCGGAATGATCTGTTTGCCAAATTCTCCAACATTTTAGTTTTACCACGGCATCACATCAACTGTAGGTGAGATTTCACTGTAGATATGTCCAATAAACAGCCTAATGTTAGTACAGCTTGTGTTTTACATCCAGAAGCTGAGCCCTTTTAGAATGCATGACCTAATCCATATGAATAGGTAGGCTTTCCTCTAAGTGTTTTTTTAATTATTTCCTTTCCCAATCCCTGCCTTTCATGGTGAACTCTGGGTATTACAAACTATTGTCAGTTTGTGGTAAATTCACATGTAACAAATTGGTCATTTAGTGAAGTGTTCTTGAGAAAATTAGTTTTCTAAAAGTTAGACAGCCAGACTCACTGGATCACAGGCAGAGCCTAGCAAATTAGTGTTTTTACATTACCTACTCCCCTTCAGGCCACCAGCCTTTCACTAGACACACGGGCTTTCCTGAGTCCAGCCCTAGCTACTCACTAGTGCACCTCTGAGCAACACACCAAAGTGGTAAAACACCAAGGTCTCCTCCAGGCCCCTGACACGGCTTCTTGGGGAGGTCATCTTCAGTGTGGTCCACATTCCATATATGCACACATACCACCACCACCACCACCCACAGGGCCTCCTGCCCTCATTGAGTCCTTGCCTTCCCCTTGCTCACCGCCGGCCTGTCTTCTCCAGCACCTGCGCCTCCTTGCGCCGCTGCAGCTCACCCATGTAGCTGAGGATGCGGCTGTTGCACACAAGCAGGCTCTTGGTGGCTTCCAGAGCCTGCTCTCGCTGGGAGCAGGCTGCCAGCAGCTTACAGGCCCCTTCCCTCATCCGGATCTCATGGTCTAGCTTCCTCTGCAACTCTGTGTCCTAGCCAGGATCAGGGAAAGGGTAAAGAGGAAATGTCAGACAGAGGACAGGCTGAAGCACCCCCAGACTCCAGTTGGGCTATGGCCTAGGAGAAACAGACAAAAAACTAGTGCTTGAGGCAATTCAAGAATAAGCCCAGGGTATCAACCTCAGCTGCCCAAGAATAACCAGAGAAACTGTGTAACTGAGCGCCGAGGGCATGCCTGTATTCCCAGCTGCTTGGGAGGCAGAGATGGGAGAACCTCTTGAGCCCAGGAGTTCAAGTCCAGCCTGGACAACGTAAGAAGACCCCATCTCTAGAAACAAAAACAAAAAATACAGATATCCATATGCATTTGATGGTTGGGTGTTTAAATTCCGTCAGCCTCTTTTGAGCACAATTTGGAAAAATCTATGAAAACTACAAAGTCACATATCCTTTGATCCAGCTATCCAATATCTAGGAGTTTATGCTATACATATAGTTACACATATAACTGGGCAAAGCTACATGTACAAAAATATTCATCACAGCATTGTTTTAAACATTACAATTAAAAGTACTTCAATAGTACACTAAATAAGTTTCAGCATGTCTATACCATGTAATATTACAGACATTAAAGAATGAGGTACACATGTGTGCAGATATGAAACAATCTCCAAAATAAACAATGTGAGAAAAGGACAGTATTTTACATGTTACCGTTTGTGCATGATATATACACATGTGTGTATATACAGGTATTAGGTTGGTACAAAAGTAATTGCGGTTTTAACATTGTTGAAATTTGCTGTTTGATATTGAAATACATTCTTTCTTTTTTTTGAGACAGAGTCTTACTCTGTTGCCCAGGCTAGAGTGCTGTAGTGTCAGCCTAGCTCACAGCAATCTCAAACTCCTGGGCTCAGGAGATCCTCCTGCCTCAGCCTCCCCAGTAGCTGGGACTAGAGGCATGTGCCACCATGCCCAGCTAATTTTTTCTATATA